ATTCTTCTTATCCTTCCCAGGTCCGCCGGCATCGAAAGAGCTTGACGTGCCCTCGGTCGCGTCGGCTTTATGCTTCTTTAAAATCTTTCTACCCTCCGGATTAGCCTCTGAACTTTTGCCGCTTGTCTTCTGCTCGCTCGCTACCCTGTGCCCAGCACCTTTCTCGCTGCTCTGCGCCTTCTGCGCCGACCCTTGCGAGCCTTTCTCGCTGGCCTGAGACTTCTGCGACGCAACCTGCGGGATCCTCTCGTTGGTCTGCACCGAAGGCTTCTGAGCGGGCGACTGCGAACCTTTGTCGCTGCTCGACGACGAGGACTTTGAAGCCGAGGCTTGGGAACACTTATCGCTACCCTGCGACGGTGTCTTCTGCGTCGCAGCCTGAGTGCTCTTCTCGCTAGTCTGCGACGCTACTTTCGGCGAAGAACCCTGTGTAACCTTTTCAGTGCTTTGCGACGGAGTCTTCTGGGACGACGCGTGTGAACTTTTCTCGTTGCTCTGCGATTGCTTATGAGATACAGTGGCGCGGGGTTGCGAGTTGGCGAGATTATCCACGAGCTTGAAACTCTCTTCGACTTTTCCGGCGGACTGCTCCGTGGCTTTTGAGACCGGATTCACCTTAGAGTCCTGAGCCTTCTCCGTCTCCGTCGACTTTCCAACAGAAGCACTAGCCTTCTCGATCTTATCCGAGGGCAAAGCGTCTTTCGACGAGTAATCGTCGCCTTTCGAACCGGTCGGCGAGTCCTTCTCCTCAGCTATTCTGGGCAGCTGCGTGCTACCGCACGAATTCGACATGCTCACGTTCCCCAGATTGATCGATATCGCGTGGGACAGTTTCGAGTAATCGGACTTCTGCTCGTTCGATGCTTTCTTCTCGGTCTTCGAGTCGTTCGTGTCCTTAAAGTTATTCCCGCTCTCCTCGGCGGTCTCCGAGTGTGAGGTTTGAGCTATGGTCACGCGAGGCGTTACTTTCACCACTGAGTTCGCGAGCGGCGATATCGAGGTCTTGCTCTCCGCGGAGCGTGGGTGGAGCCGGTCAGGACTCAGAGCCCTTCTCAGAAGAGGAGACCCAGGCTCCGCCGACTTTGGACGACCGTAGCTTTTCTTCTGGTTGTTCGGCGTTGACAGACAGACACCTGGAACGTGGAATGTCTAGTTAATCCCTTGCTCCACGATTTAATTCCGTAGTTACACTTGTTAGAACTATTTATCTTAAACAATGCATTGGTAAAAATGAAATTCCATGCTCTTCCCATGTCTAGAATTACTCTGAACCATACAAATTGTTAATAAGAAAAATAATGTTTCACTTGAACTCAGAAGAATTGGATGACATTTATGTGGATATGATTTTTGACAGTATTATGCGTTTAATGTCGCCTGACTGTCCTCGTCATTTGCTTTATTAAAAAAAAATGTATAGAGAGATGATAGTTTATTCAGTTAGAACTCTACTCCCATGTTATGTCATAGTGGAAATCGTCACGGTTTTTGTGCTATAAATATTTGTGCTTAAACGATATTGGAAATCTTTACCAGTCTGACACGACATTGTAAGGCAAGAGGTTAACAGTCAAATAGAATGTATGTGTTCATTGATATGAATCCTGATTTACAGTTTATCGCACCTGGACTGTAGGACTGCGTAGTATTGGAACTACCAGGCTGATGCCCAGTTGGGAAGGCCAGCGGGCTGGGACTTCTGGTCGGGCTAGCCGGAAGCGGCGACGGACTAGGAGTTCTGGCCAACGGAGACAACGGTATGTGACCCACGGATTTCCTGCGATTCGGTGAATGAATATTTTTTGCCGCCGTGTGCAACTTGTGCTTCAAACCGTGAAGCGTGCTGGGTCTCTGGTAGTGGGATTGGTTCGAAATGGTTGCCAGGTTCGCAGCGGACGTATTCGAGCCCGGGGACGAGGAATTTGGGCTTGAACAAGAACTCGAGTTAGCCGTCGAGTGGTAGGAATCGGAGCTGACGCGATTCGTCGGCGGAGAAGGGCTACAGACGGACTTCGCGCAAGCTGCAAAATACGGCGAGGTCTCCTGAGAACGTGTGAACGACTGGAAGGACCGGCTGGGGGTCACCATGGACGGCGAACAGATTCCTGCGGCCATCTGGAAAGAGATCGGTTGAAATGATTTTTATCTGGAATCCATTTGGAATCCTAGTTACATGATTATTTCACTTCTAACGCTCTATACGGGTATGCGTTATGAAACTGAGAATCTTCAGTGATCAGTGTGGTGTTTAGGGGTTGAAACGGTTCATAGACTAAACGAGTCGGCGCTCGACTTGTTTACAATGAGAATAAAAACAGTGGAAAATATGAAGAGAAAGGCTCCGATTGAAACAGTTATGAGAAAACAGTTATAAGATCGTTGTCGTTCTTGTAACCGTTTCGAACATTGACATATTAATGCTATTACTGTTTTCAACCCCCAGTTGTGTAAGACTTTGAACGCGGTCAATAAGTGACAATACAAAGGAACATTTATAAGCTGCCGCATGAGCATATTGAGCAACCGAGAGTTCTGACTTAAACAGAAATGGCGAACTGAATCTGATTATCAGGCAAAATGACGATCAGGAAACGTTACGAAAAATCATACCATAAGTGGAGGTTTGCTGTCGCTGGATAGAATGGGTGCTGACAATGGACAACTGATAGTTAATGGCTGCAATAAGAAACAAAAGTAAACGCTTAACATAATCGGTGTATAAGTCGCTTGTAAATAGCCGCCGGTGCATCAGCGTATTATGCCGCGTAATAGTACTAGTAGCAGTAGTAGTGGAAGTAGTAGTAGTAGTAGTACTTGTGTGAAAAAAATAACAGCATGTACGTGTATATGTATATATGTCCTGTATGTGTGTATATATATAATATATACACATATATACACACATTAGTTTATATTAGCCACAAACTCGTGTACGTTTTCACATCAAAACGTTTCTGCGACTACAGTTCACAAAAATTAAGACAACTTATTCTGTACCTGTTGCATTTCTACGCTAGCTCGTTTTGAACTAATTCGCTTAAATAGGGACGTTTTCCGTTTCTTATCGGAATGATCACGCTTTTGTTTCCGCTGTTTATGCAGTGTTCTACGCGCCATTTTGCTTTGGGCAAGGTCCCTTTTCCGTCCGCCAGTTTTAATGCTGGTGTTCTCCAGCGGCGTGCTGCGAAGCGTCACGTGATCGCCGCCACTCAGCATCAATTGGAGAACTTGAATGTGATATAAACCCTGTACCGGTTCACCGTTTATGTGAGTGATGAGGTCACCTGGTCTCAAGCCAGCTTCGAACGCCGGACTAGACTGATCCACGGCCTGAAAAATGATGAAACGAAAAATGAAAAACAGCTGTATTGGAAGATGGAACTATTTGACTTGCTGAACTCAGATAATAAAATTAATTTTGCTTTGTTACAACCATTGGACTGTCAGAACTTACCATGACTAAATGATGCATAGTGTAAAAATCACTGTCCCCGTAGTAGACTCTGATAGTGTGCACAGTAAACCCAAAGCCGCACGGTCCTCTTCGAATAATAGTAGGAGGTTTCAAGCTGGTGACAAGAGGACTCAGTTCACGACAGGGTGACGTGTCTCTCGAAGAAGCAGTGGACGATCCGCCAGGAGATTCGATTGGTTGAGTATTTAAAGATGCATCATCTGAAACGTAGAGGATGTGTCATTCTTGTTATCATAAGTTGCAGGACACGAAGAAACTTGAATTTATTCGAAGCGATACGTACAAGAAAAGTCACTGGTGGGTATTACCAGTGACAGTCCACTGGTAGAAGCAGATTTGATCACAGACCGTGACTTTTGTTTCATCGATGGTATGATTGGCATCGCGCTGAACGATTCAAAAGAATCCGTGCTGGAATTGTGCTTACTTTCCTCGGTGGTATCTCTGTTTGCAGCAACTAAGTCCAACCTGTAACCAAAATCAACTGTTACGTTGTATGTCTATCCTCTTTCGTATAATAGTGTGCTAAAGATGAATGAATCGGAGCTAGGTAAAATATTATTTCAATTTAATATTCCTTAAAAGACTTTCTCCTCTACATTTTACTGAACTCCGGATAGAATTAAGTGACTGTTAGAAAAACAAAATAAGTATGATTGTGATGTTTGATGTTTGAACGACTCACATGTGGTCATCATCAACGGATATACTGAACCTGGGCAGCTTGTCGCGGGAGTGCACATGTCTCTTTCTCTGGATCTGCGGACTGATATCCTCCGACTCCGTTTGGGACGAATCAGGAGTGCTCAAGTTGATCGATGCTCCTTCTATCTGACTGTTCTTGATAACAGTTAATTGAGATTCACCGCTGGTCACCGTAGCGGGACTAGTGAACGACGTATTTGATCTGTCTGCCTTTGGCGGTGTCTCCATGCTTGCGCCACCCTTAACGAATGAAGACGGCCTGTTCTTCTCTAAAGAGACCAAGTCGGTTAACTTGGATGGCGGTGTGACGACAGTCCCAGATGCTAGTGACAATTGAGCAACTGTGCGTTCGAGCTCGGTACGGAATAATTGTTTCTTCGAGACGTCTGACTCTGTCTCCGAATTGATTTGAGGCGGACGGGTTTGAGAAATCTTTCGTGATTGAGGAGAATACGAGGAGAACGATCCGAAGAGGGGAGAATCATCGGTGTCATCGGTGTCGTCGCCGATGTCATGATTGTATCTGTCCATACGAGCTGCGATATCGTTCTTACGTTACACTTGCATTTTAAAGAAGGTCTACAGGTAGAAAGTTTTTATACCGAACTTACTATCAAAGTAACTTGTGTCTTCGTCGTTGACCAACTGCGGTACAAATTCAGCCTTCTGTCTGAGCAAACTGTTCCAGTTTACCCCAAAGAAATACGGATGCTCTTTGACTTCGTGTGATCCACCGGTTCCTAATCTATCTCTAGGACTTTGTTGTAGCAACGCTGTTATAATATCTTTAGCTTCCACTTGGACGGGCCAATCATCGTCGTCGGGCCACTCGATATCGTCTGTAAGATCGCCGAGTTGTACGCAACTCATTGATTTTCATTTGTACATTAATGTTACATGATAAATACGAATGCTCACCATTAACTGTATGAGCAAACAATTCTTCAGGTGTATCACCGAAGAACGGAACACAGCCAATCAGAAATTCGTATAAGATAATGCCCATAGACCACCAGTCAACGGGTTTGCCGTACCCCTGACGCAAAATAACCTCAGGTGCAATATATTCAGGGGTACCAAATACTTGCTTATCTGAAAACTGTCTCGTATCCCTATCAATGTACCCTTCATAAAGATTCGTTGCCACTAAAAAGAGAAACAGAATTCACATACTTTTCTATAATGAGTAGTTTAATTTAATAATTGATGTATTTTATAAAATGCTTACAGGACATAAGACCCATTTTACTTAGACCGAAGTCTGTTAGCTTGATGTGACCAAGCGCAGTAATGAGTAAACTGAAAAAAAGGGAAATGTAAGAGATTTGAAAAATTGATAAATCATTGATCTACATACTTGTCTGGCTTCAAATCTCTATGAACGATGCCGTAGCTGTGCAAGTATTCAACAGCTAACACAGTCTCCGCAAAATAAAACCGTGCCATATCCGGCGGTAGTGGACCGATATTTTTCAGTAGATTCGCGCAGTCTCCACCCTCCACATACTCCATCACCAAGCATAAATGTTTCTGTAATTGAATAATTAATTACTTCAATTGAATGTTCGAATGTTCTACTTTTACAACGGTTACACACCTTAGTTTCGAAACTGCAATACATAGATACTACAAAAGGATTGTCTGTAAAGCTCATTATGTCTCTCTCGGCGAACACTTGTTCCACTTGATTGCGCAGCATTAAATTGTTCTTATTTATCTTTTTCATGGCGAACCTTTGCCGCGTGGTTTTCTCTTTTACCAAATAAACAGCGCCATATGCACCGTTACTAATTAATTTCAATACTTCGTAATCGCTTTCGCACGGTATCCGTTGAGATTTCTCGTCGTCCTTGTTCGGACTCGAAGTAATCTGCAAGTTACTGTCGCTCGAACTTGCCGAATCCTCTAATTTATTTAAATCTTCCTGAAGCTCGGATATCGGATCTCTGTTTAGAGAAAGCTTAGTAATAATATACTGAGGTATATCTGTTTTAATCCCAGCATTAATTTTCGCTTGACCTTCGGCCTGCTCTAATAAATGATAAAACTCTTCCGGATCAAACTCTAAACATTCCAGTAGACGAGCCGGACGCGATATTACCAGCAGCAGTTTTTTAATAAGTCCGGTCAGTCTGGTCGCAGCTTCAAGTGACTTTTCTTTAGTCTCCATTAACAAATGTTCAAGATTCTCGCTCATTTCATAAAAATATCTAGTTGTGATTAACTTCTCCTGAGACTTTAACAAACAATCCCTCGCCATTTCGATTACTTGATGATGAACGAACCGTAGAATTGGCAACGAGTCTTGTGTCATGTTTGCCATTACTTCATACTCATCCAGATCCTTATTCTCATTGATAAAGTTAGTCAGACGTTCTTCCATTTGTTGTGTTGCCTAATAGAGTAATTTTTATTGTTAAGCATAATCATTATACATCACAGTGTTAATAGTATTTTCTGTTTAAAATATACCTTTGGAAACCGTTCTTTGTAGAGGGTGTTCATCATTACGATTTCACTATCCAACACGGGAGACCGACTAGGACTACTATAATTAGCAAAACAAACACCCGTTCCAATGAGAGTACTTTTTACAGTAAAGATAATTATAGTTTGTTCAATGCTCACCTTAAACTTCGAGAACGTGGTCTGTGTAAAGGTGATCTACGACCTTCCTCGTCAAGACTGAGAGACACGGTCCCCGGTATGCTGGAAATACTGGAACCTGGAAATCCCGGGTGGATCGAAATAGGTGTTCCAGGTTTAGAGAAATGACAGGAAAGCATACGTAATTCGTCCTTGGTTGGAACATTTGGAAGTTGATGCAGGCGTTCTTGACTCGAGTATCGTGACTAATTAAGTACATAATAATAATTTGTAGAGAACTGTCAGTGCCTTCAGGCTTTAGTGTTTTAATAAATCACTAACCGAAACATTACTGGAGCCGGGTGTCGTTCCATATCCACTCGATGGTAAACTAGCAACCGACCATCTTCTTCCATCTCCAGTACCCGTACCACCTCCGCCAATCCTTAATCATTATATGTATCTTAATGTAAGTTTAACAGTGCACAAACAAATAATTCTATTCAATACATCTAACACACGGAGACAGTAACTTTGTTATAATACAAGAAAAAATCTTACAGCCACATCCTTCGTTTCTTTTGAAAGATTATACAGCTTAGTGCCTGCATTGGCATTTTGTGTTTTTCTTTACTATTAATAATGTATTAAAAATATAATGCTCACAATGGCGACACCTACTTACATAGGCAATCAGACCAGATATAAACAGACTAAAAGTAGGCACGAAGTAGATACCTTTTAATTGGAGCAAAAGCAAAATGTGGACTGGATGACATCCTAGGACTCTCTAGGGGACTGCCTACAACAATCGGGACGAATGCTATATTGGGAAACAAGCAGTAAAAGAAATTAATCATCTATTGTAGTTGAAAGACGTAAACAATGTAAATAAACACGCTTCTAAGTGGATGAAAATGAATTTTTTAGGATGCTGTTTCAGGACAGAGTTGTTTATATGTTCTAGTTCTAACACGCTTGCAAATAAACTTATTGCGTGTAATACTTGCAAACTGTAACAGCTGTATTACTATAGTGTAAACATAGACATATATATAAGTATATATGTGTATATATCCATATATATCTCCATTAAAATCTTGAATAAAGTTGTGCCAGAACACTTATATAATGTGATTACTAAATACATAGTACTCGTAGTCACTCATAACCGAGCATTATGTATTTACACCTCTTTAGTCGCTGTTACTAGACATACTTTCATAGCATGATATATTTGCTAATGAAATATATAATGTCAAACGGATGAAATATGATTTAACATTTAAAGAAGAAGAATCAGCACCATTAATGTTTACATACCTGACAGTGGTGAATGACAACGTGGTAAAGTAGGAGATGTTGTTGCAATGAAAGATTTACGATGAGCTGCTTTGGCAGCCCGCCTAGGAATGTTAAAATCACGCTGTAAAAAAAGGTATATACATATAAATACATATATATCAATTGTAACATAAGTTATGATATCATTAACTAATATAAAATTCCTAACCACATGAACAGACAAAGAAGGCGCAGACTTCCCAATAGCAGAGTTCCTCATTCGAACCAAATTCGACAGCTCTCCGCTTACTAAAACCATTAAACAGTGAAAAACCATGAAAAGTAGAATGACGCTTGCTTACAACAATGCACAAACCAGGTCGGACTGGAGCCTCTTTGCTTTCCATTTTGAACGGTATTGGACGCTTTTGTACATCAGCTTCGGCACTACCAACGGATTCCTCGCTTTCGGTTTGATCGAATACAAGGGCCCTGGCAGAATTGCCATGATTCCGAAGACGGGGTCTACTGGGTCTGTTCCTGTTTTGATCCATGATTCTCCCACAATAGTTTCACCCAAAGATTTAAGTTACCTAAAAGTGACAGGTACACCTCAAGTACATAACAACAACAACAACAACAACAACAACAACAACAATAACAACAAATAAAACAACGTAGAATTCTCGAAATATTCCAAAGAAAATGGGTACAAGGTGTGTACCTGACTCGAGCCGTTTTATTCGCAGAATAAAACAGCAAATAAAAGGCGAGTCCGATCAGCAAGACCGCCGATGCATTCGCAGTCCATTCTTTCCCGTGAAGGTTCGATCGTCACCGTGGAAAGACCGATATCGGAGTATCCACGAAGGGCATTCGTGACCGTGGTCCACGGAAGCTGAAAAACGCTGCCACGAACCGCACCACCTTTCCTTCCCGTGCTATTCTATGAAAATTCGTAGCATACATATAAGAAGAGAATGCAGGATAGGAGAGGAAGGCGGGATCGGTCGATCGCGAGAAAGGACCGAGGTACTAGGTGGTGTGTCCTCAAAGTACCTGCTCCAACGGAGGAAAGACAGACGAGAGCCCCGGGATAGAAGAGAACCGGGTTACGGGAGAGACGTCGTCTATCGTGAGAAACAAGAGAAGCGAAACACACGCGAAAACACTCGGACGCACCGCACACGGTAGATACAAGAGCAAAGCAGAGCCGTGAGCGGGAGGTGAAGAATGATGAAAGATGCGCGATTTACCGGGCACAACGAGCATGTCCTCTGCGGACAAGCGCGGCCCGGGAACGTGCAGGTATCGTGCTCCCGGGGGCTAGACTCGCATTTTTCTCGTCAACGAAGAGAATTAATTACGAAACACAGACCGACCATGGCTGCTCTGACTCATGATGGACATACACACGCACACACCTGCGCACGGATCTCTGACACTAGCAAACGTACCCGTAGCCGGACCGCGTGCACACACGCGTGAACACGCACGCGCAAACCCGACGTTCCTATGCATGGAAACTCGCACAAATACATACATGCATCCTTGGACCGCGAGCTGCAACCGACAGAGAATACAACGCACACCGAACGAACCCCTGTTTTACAGGATGCTCCTAACAAGGGGACCCCCTCGATACGTTACGCACCGATTTCGACGAGACTGTGTGAACCTAGTGGACACTTAGATGTTCGGCCAGGTAGACTTGTAAATGTCCATGGTATGTGGTTTATGTGGTATTTAATAATCAAATTTGTATCCGATAGAATACAAAAGACTCCTTTCAACGTCTCAGAAGGAAACGTTGCAAAAGGGTCAAGCAGATTTCACGCGGGACTGGGTTTTGAATTCGTATGCTCGAGCGATCTGTAAAATATTAATTGTATTTGTCCAGTCATTTTTAGAAAAAAAATTACTTTAAATACTGCAATTTCACTATTACCGATGAAGTTGGTTTTGCGCAGAAATAAAAGAGCTTGAGATACTATATTGCGAACGAAGGATGTCAGTTTTTACTTTGGGAACAATGGGTTTACAATAAAGGTTGATCATTTATCACGGATGAAGAATCAAAGTTTCATCGCGAATCATTATTCGTGGCCAGCCCTGTGCTTGCCGTATTGGTGCAGTTCCTAGAAATTTCACCATTGTTACATCCAATGTTCGATGAAACCGATTTGAGCGCCGATGCATTTCCTGTCAGGCTCGATAAATACGTTTCGATTATTTATAAAACAATGAATACATGAAATATTAAACAACGTTCAATCGTAGCGCCCTTGTTTCGATACGATACCGTTCCTTGATGTCAATCACGCAATGATTTCCAAATCGTCCGTAGATCAGTACATTAAAAGGACGACAGAATTTATTGAAAATAAAACGTATTGTACCTATCTTCTGAACTCCCGTCGTCAATTTGAGGTTAATTAAAAAAATTATTAAATATCTTTCTCGCCCGATTTACCGATCGACCTGAAACTAATATTGTTCGTAACCTTGTGACGTACCTCGGTGGTCTTTACAAATATGGATTCGTGACAATACTACGTAGTCTCTTTAACTTTGGACTGGAATAATATATTTAAATAAGATTTACGTTTGCAGAATACATATATATATATATATAAAAGAAATGTGAGAAGAATTCTTTCTATATCGAAGGAGAAATAACTGGAAATTCAAATAACAATCATTTCGAAAGAAATGATTAATCGTAACTTGACGCGATACAGCTTTTTGTATTACTAAGGATTGTCAACAACGTTCATAGCTAATTGAGATTTGGATTGTGAGAACTTGTTCAAGTACGTCAACGGTTTTTTCATTAATATAGAAATAAATTTTTTCATATTCCGTGCGCAACGTCGAATAAGCTGTAGGCGTGCGGTTATTCTTAAGGAAGCGCCTAAAAATACTGACTGTCGAACAACTATAGAAGGAAGAGCAATGCGGCTGCCTTTGACACATGTCAGCTGATACATCAACGCGTACTAATACCTTTGCGAAAAACATTCGACGCTGAATTATATTCACAATTTATTCTTTTTCGTTTCATAAAGATATCGCTACAATTTTATGCTTTCATACGTTGTACGCAACGTACTTACATTTTTAAGAACGTGTGCACCGAGGTGAGTAAAAATGTAAAAAAAAAGAATTTTATTTCATAACCTTAATGAAAACTATTAACCGTGCTTCTTTTCGTTTCAAGTGTTATATTTACATTGTCATCGAACAATGAGAGATTTGTATACAGTTGAATGAAATTATTGTGAGATAAGTGTAAGTAATAATTTAACAGCAAATAACGATTGAATGCTTCAATAATAATACATTATTAACAGACTGTTTTATGACTTCAGTATTCTTCAACTTTATATGGAACGAATGGACACAGTTTCAAACTTGAACAATGAAAAGTACCAACATACATCAGTAACACCTGTGGGAAACCAAAGGATACGAACACGACCTGTTTGGTTACATCTTATAACAATATTTTTCACAAAGCGAATGTTCCATACCGCACTTAAATATGGTGTAGCAGGAAGCATAATGTTTCAATATACAAGACTGGGATTTTGCTTGTTAATATTGTCAGCCTTTGTAAATCATCTCTAAGCAAGTTAGAATTGTAATTGTATGAACGTTTACTAAAATGTGATGATATTTTAACTGTTATGCTTAATTATAGAGTTGGATATACTATATATTCTTTGAACCGTTATAATAATTATCTGATGTAAAGAAAATTACTTATACGAAAGAGATATATATACAGAAACATGTTTTATTTTGTAAAGAAAATATACCTCAAACACCTTCAACATACAACCATTAGAACAATGATCTGTAGCACGAGAAGTCTCTCGTATGGAAGAAATCTTCCTGAAATATCTTTTCTTCGATCAAAAGAGTCTGAGAAAAGGTGGCAACATTTAAAATATCAAAGAGCAAATTTCCATAATACACAGAAATTACAGTTGTCAATTTATGGCGTGGAAGGGATATGTTTTGCTATGAAACTTTGTAGTATATTTAGTGGGCATCATACAAGACGTTGGTGGTTATCTTTGAATCCAATACAACAGCAAGAAATCAAAGCATGGTATTGGAAAAGAAGAAATGTGTTCTATGGTAGATAATTTATGATCCACTAAGTTATTCTTTCTTTTCGTTTTTAAGTTTGTATCAAGTACATGTATCTTTTTTTTTATATCATCCCTTCCCTTGTTTGTTTTACATGGATTACTGCATTGTCAATTTTTTTGCTAATTATCAATAGAAATAAACCATAATTATAATGTAAAAAATGTTTGATATTTATTTTTTCAGGTTCTCTGAGCATTTTCTTTTTAGTTTTATTAATGTATTACTTAACACATTTAGAAAGAGATCCGATAGAAAAACGTCGACGTTTCATAATATTTAATAAAAGTCAGCAGGCTGACTTTGAAGATAGATATTTAACATTAGTGCGTAATCAGACACATCATAAATATGTAATAAAACACTTTTATATAATAACATATTCACAAATTATGCAATTATTAAAGGTGTTCAAGAATGAAATAATACCACCGCACGATCCTGTATATAGGAAGATTGAAAAGGTACTATGGAAATTGACAAATTCTAATAAAAAAATTTTTGAAGATAGAGCATGGTCCATCACCGTAGTGGATCTTCCATTTCCTACTGCAATGGTTACACCAGTATGAAATATTATTTTATTTTTATAACAAAAAATAACTTTTTATTCGAAATTGAAATGATGCATTATTTTTTAATGTTTCAGCGTGGACAGATCATTGTTTGTTCTGGTATTTTTAAAGTAGTACAAAATGAAGATCAATTGACATTTATTTTAGCCCACGAAATGTCACATGTATTACTGTTACACATGGTAAGTTATGTTTGATAAAAGAAGATACTACTGTAATTTAAGCTATTCAAAGAATATGATTGGTTCATTGTATAATTCTTTCTAGATTGAACGGTATTCCTATAAAGTACTGATGACTGCTGTATTTGTTATACCACTATTTCTTATGTGGGCATGCCATTCCTCTTGGAAAGCAATTTTACTTTATCTAGAAACTAACTTTCTGTATAATGTGTTCCTTTCTTTACCATACATGAGGCGAAAAGAAATGGAAGCTGATATTGTTGGACTTCAGTTATCTGCTAGAGTATGTGATCTGTTCTATACATCCATCAAAACCATTGTTTATTTGTCACTTCAATAGTTTACACATTTCCAGAGTTGTATTAACTTAAAAGAGGTTTTAACTTTTTGGAAGAATATGAAAAAGTATTTAGACCTTACTGGACAAAGTAAATATGAGATGCCGACGTTTTTAATGACTCATCCTAATATCAAGAGTAGAATGGAAGAACTTGTTCGTCAAATGCCAAAAGCCGTGGATTTGCAAAATCAAGTTGGGGTATTGTTTTTTGTTCTTCAACAATTCTGTTCATTACATGAAAAGTACATAGAAATTTAATAAATTTCAGTGTCCGAACTCGTCGATAATTAGAGCTGCTGAAAAATTCGCTTTAAACTGAAAAAATGTATCTGAGAAAACCTATACACGTCGACAGAAGAATAAAATTTCGATCTCACAATCAGTCGCCTGTAATTCCAGGATATATCTAACAAGATGAATAACTTGTTAGTCATCATTCAACTATGTCATGCTGATAATTATAATAGCGGCTGCTTTATCTCCTGCCTTCCTGTATTCTTTAAATTTCACGGCATTGTAATTCTTTGCGTAGAGGAACATAAACACAAAATGAAGCTGATATTTCTTTTATTCATCTCGCTAACGTGCGGATACAATGTAGATAGAAAGTTTGTTCGTATGTATTACAGTACGGATAAGTTTAGAAATAGTTATGTCGGTTATACAGTGTATTTGTACCATGATCCGGTTAACAATACATCTTGGTAACTCTTGTTTTGTTGCTTTCATAAAACTGTTTTTAAATGGTTAATTTAAACCTGTTTTTAATGGTTTAATTTTGTGTAATAATGGAATCATGAAAGGTTGCTAATGGGGGCTCCAAAAGGAAATTTTTCATCATCCACCAAGCAACCATATGAACCTGGTGTTGTTTTCCGCTGTACAATTAACGACAACTCGTCATGTACGCAAGTAAAACCAAAGGAACTTAAGTATAAAGTGGGATATATATCTCGGCTTAAGATGCACATGATTATTGAACAGCAAAAGGGCTGGTTTGGCAGTTCTATGTCCATAGATAAATCAAGTGGAATATTGACAGTAAGTGTATCATATATACTACAGCATGACTTCAATGAAAAAAACGAGTAAATAATTTCAGGTATGCGCACCACGAACTATAGTAAGATTAATTAATCCATTTAGTAAAGCCCATTTTGACACCATGCAGGGAATGTGTTATACTGGAGGGATTACTTCAACTGCACTCTCCGTTGAATACGATGATCTTGAATTTCATGGTTGAGTTTTCAAGAGTATTAATATCAGGAGTACTACCATGATTGTAATACACTTAATAATTGACTAATTAGATTTCAGATCAGACATATGGTATAATCCAATGTATGGATTCTCCATTCATTATGCTTCAGTAGTGGTATGTATGTAAGATGTAATTTACAATAACGTTTAATTTGATATTCCAAAGGCAATTTTGAATTACTTTTAGCAAGATGAAGATAAAAGAGAAAATGGAACGCATCGTATTATAGGAAAGCCCATGCATGAAAGTTATGGAAGTGTAGAAATAGTAGAAAAAGATAAAAGACAATCAGTTAAATTACCATTAGGTGATGACGTATCTCATTTTGGTAAGTTTTTTAAGTTTTTGAGTACACTTTTAAGTCCTTTTGTAAATAAACAGCTGCATAACGGCATACTGTAGGCTATAGCGTTGAATCTGGTTATTTCTTTGGAAAAAGTCAATTACTATATGCCAGTAGTGCACCAGGCTGGCAGTACGTAGGCCAGGTAAGTTAAGGTATATTCGATTTCTCCTACAAAATATAGAACCCCTTGTATATGAAGTATCTTCTCAGGTTACTGTAATTGATGTAACGATAAATTTATCAATTGCCAAGTTACAAGGTACCAGTGTTGGTGAATTTTTTGGAGGAAGTTTAACAGTGGGAGATATAAACAATGATGGTTTGGATGACCTTATTGTTGGAGCACCCCATTGGGGACAAGATAATGGCAAAGTGTATATTTACTTGGGTAGTAGTAAGGTGAGATTTGTGTGAAGTAACATGAAATATTATATTTTCACTATTGACTTATCTACTTTTATTGTTAATCTCGCATAGGGCTATTTTAAGGAGGGAATATTTCTCCATGGAACCGTGGAAGAGAGTTATTTCGGATACACGGTAGCTAGCGGTGATTTAGATGCTGATGGATTTGATGGTAATTTTCTACAGGTCATTATAAATAATGTAGACTTCACAATAATTTTTAACTCTTATCATAGATATCATTGTCGGAGCACCTTGGGAAGAATCTGGAGTGATTTACATTTACAATGGTGGTTCAGACTTGAAAAATAAGCAGCAAGCATCGGAACGGATTCAATCCACAGATATCCCGAATAATTTTTACAAAATAGAACGATTTGGATTTTCAATATCAAAACCAGTTGACATTGATGGAAACGGGTTAATATCACTTATTTCCCGTTAATATTTCATTGTTTGCAAAGACTCAATACATATATTTATATTTTCCATTCACTTAGGTATTTAGACTTTGCAGTAGGGGCATATAAATCTGGTCACGTTATGGTGTTCCGTAGTAAACCAGTCGTAAGAACAAGACTTACAATTCGCGCTGAGCCTAATGTTTTGAAAAGAGATGCTAAAGAATTTTTGATTGAAGTATGTTCACAACATGACGGATATAACATAGAGAGTATAAGAGGCAGGTATACAATTTGTTGTGGAATTAATATCATTTAGTTACAGTTTAATGAAATATGATCGATTTTTAGACGTAGAATTCAAGATCACGATCATCGTAGATGAACGGTATCACCGGACTAAAGAAACATTCTTAGAATTCAAATCGAGCAACTTAACATCAACCGTCTGTTTCAAAACGCAAATCAATATCTCGGTAATAACTTATGTGTATATTATTGTTGCTTACAAATTTGATTCCTGCTTTAATCAGGATATTTTACAGAGCAATATAAGAGATTTCATTGAACCAATTAGTGTTGTTGCAAAGCATCATTTCGTGAATGATACATCTAATCTCTTCTGCAAATACTGTCCTGTCGAAAGAAAAAATAACATGTTAAATGTTACTCAAATTTTTCTCCCCTTTAACATTGATTGTGGGGCAGATAATATCTGTAACTCTAATATATCTGTCACAGCAAAATTTCTTGGTATTCGGTAAGAAAGAAAGAATTTATTGCTATGTTTCCAACTTGATTAAACATTAAAATCCATTTTTAGCGACGATAACGAATGGGTGATTGGTTCAACTTATGCAATGTTAAATATCACTCTAAAGAATTATGGAGAACCAGCTTATCTTACCACGATCCAGTTCACGACTTCCAAGAGAGTGATGCTACATACCATTTTACCTTCTTGCCAAGAAGATACATCTAAAGAAAATTTATTAGTATTCTGTGAAGTTGGTAATCCTTTGTGGAAAGGCGAAGAAAAAAATATTATCTTAGATCTTGACATGAAAAATTTAATTGACGATTCAATGCATGATTATAAATTAAATTTTTACATAACGATTAAAACGCGTAGTACAAATGAAGGGATGACAAATATAACGAAGACTCTTAAATTAGTAAGCGAAGTTTCTTTATCTTTGAATGGGTTCGTAATTTTTTTCATTAAATACAATTAATTAGTAATATTTCATTAAATACTAAAAAAAAGCATTTCCTGTTAAATACTTTATCCTTTAGAAAATCAAATGAGGAAATATATTATTTAAACACTCTTAAGGATACTGCTAAGAATATTAGTTTTCAGCAGATGTATCAAGTGTATAAGCTTGGCGCAACACCCATAGGAAGCGCAGAACTCATCATTAAAATACCAACAATGATTAATTTGGAAACTCTGATTGATATATACGAACCACAGGTATGATATACTCGATTCTCTTTACATAAACGCAAACTTTGAAAAATTACATTTTCAGCTATACGTGTCAGGACAACAATTTGAATGTTTTTCGAGCGGTCTTTTTCTCGACACTAAACAGATAGATTTAAAAGGAGAATCGTCAATACATGATGCAACTCACAATATGCAACAGATTAATAAGTTAATAGTTAAGAGACATATAAACGAATCAGATTTGGACTTTGATGATACAAAGAAAAATGTGGGAACCCAACATATTAGCGAGAACATTGTAAATAATGTTGTGTACATGAATTGTTCGAATCCTGACGTATATTGCACAACTATTATATGCGGCTTAAATACATTGAAAACGCTGCAAGATGTCGGAAAAGTGTTGATTAAACTTGTCTTAAATGTTGAAAAACTTAAAGGTAGTACATTTGTATTGTATATATATATATATTTCTTAAAATAAAGAAAAATATTTGATTCTTCTTTCTAAATATATTTAGATATTTTTGAAACCAACAAGGTTGCTTTAAAGTTTAGTACTGAAGCCACTGTAAATATACTAAAACCAACTGTAAGACTTTCCAACAATGAAACTAGGTATATTTGTACATCTTATGGAATGTTGAATACATAAATTAAATTCTTATAAATAATAAAATATTTGTAGATCCACAGTAGAACTTGTAACAATGTTTTATAATGGCCAGAGAAGAGAAGAGTTGCATTTATGGATCATTATAACTTCTGTGTCAGTGGGTTTATTGTTGCTAATTATTTTGGCTGCAGTTTTATTCATGGTATAACATTTTATTATTTTCCGAATATTATCACAATATATTGTAATTATTACTAATATTACTTCCTAAATAACAGTTGGGCTTTTTTAAGAGGCAAACGAACTGTTGTATGAAATAATAAAGTAAGTACATTATAAATGTTTCAATACGAGTATAGGTCAGTTTATGTATCGTTATGTTGTTTTTAGGTACCAGAAGAAGAACTTAAATCTGACGACAAATCACGTCCAAAGAATATAGAGTAGAAAAAGTGTTAAGATTGTGTTAAACCGTTTTAACGTTCGTCTAATACAAAACACGTTTAATAAAATTCTAGTTTTTATATACATTATATTTATATTCAGTTTTCTCTATGAAAAACTCAAGCTTAAG